GTCCCCAAGAGTAACTGGCTTCCCCTACTGGTTAGGAGCACATACCCTGACATTTGTTTTGTACACAAATAATGAAGGTTTTCCTTTGTATTTAGAAAGGGATAAGAGTCATCTGCCATGAGTAGATTCATTTGTCAAGCCCAGAAGAGCACACATTCCCTTGATACTAGTTTGCTGAAATTCCTAGCCTCTGATTGTATTAAACCCTGAGCCATTTTCCAGAGAAAAATGGATCCATCTGCTGGGAAATATATACTAGATAAGCCCACTGAAAGTGAAGAACTGTACAAGAAGCGTAAATGATTTGCATAATAACTTCTTGGGAGAAGTTAGAACCTCGTAATCTAATCCTGAGGTAAACACTAGAAGAGACAGGTTGATCTATCGATCACTTAAATACTCACATATAAATGTGATCAGAAAAAAACCCATAAGATTATATAGAAAAAATATTATTTATTCTATAATTGTATAGAAATGCTTTTCTACAGAGATTAGGGTTTTTAGTTTTATTCAGTCAATGCTATAAGTCTTCTCCCATCACATTTATTTGAATAGCATGCCTGAATATATGGAATGCCTTGAAGATCTGAAATCCCCTGAGAATGCTCATGTGCCTCAGGTTGACTTTGATTTTTATCTTATTCAAAACAGAGTCCTTCAGATGATTCTCAGTCTTCCCCTAATTCTTTGCAGACTGATCATTTGAGAAGCATGGATTTTTTTAATCTTCTTAAAGAAACTTCAGAATTGAGAAAAAATTATGAGAGCAATATTATAAGAACAAGAAAAGATATGGAAAACAATATGGAAAAGATCTGGACTCCTAATACTCCAGTCATCTAAAGAAGTGGGTTATGCCCACAAAAGAGGAGGTTACTTACCTCAATAGTAACTGATGTTCTTTGAGTTGAGTGCCCCCATGGGTGCTCCACATTAGGTTGGTGCGCCATGGCCGAGCCTCATAGCAGAGATTTTGTAGCAGTGTCCCTGGGCTGGGCATGCGTGAACCAGCCTCGTGTACTGCGAGGCTGCAGGTATTGCATATGTCTCAGTTCCTTCTCTACCCTGAAAAGCCGTGTACTGCGAGGCTGCAGGCATTGCGTATGTCTCAGTTCCTTCTCTACCCTGAAATGATGGCTTGAGAAGGCCAGGATCCCGAAGTAGAGAGGAGGAAGGGAGGGTTGTGGAGCATCCATGGGGACATTCATCTTGAAGAACATCAGTTACTATTGAGGCAAATAACCTCCTCAGAGAGAGAGAGAGAGATGTCCCCGTGGGTGCTCCACATTAGCTGACTACAAAGCAATTTCTCTTTAGGGAGGTAACGACTTTGAATCTGGAAGCGGTGGAAAGAAGTGCCTTAGCCAGTTTCAGGTTGGAAAGAGGTCCCTGCATAAGTACGTAGTGGTTTGCAAATGTGTGGTCAGAGGACCACACGGCAGATGCATGGGTGTCTCTTATGGGTACTTTATGGATGAATGATACTGCGGTGGCCATGGCTCTGGTTGAGTGTTCCCTTATGCTCTCTGGAGGCAGCATGTCTGACTATGTACAACAAAGCTTGATGCAATCTGAGATCCAATGGGAGAGTCTCTGTGATGAGACAGCCTGGCCCTTATTTTGGTTTGCTACTTAAGAAATAGTCTGGGAGACACTCAGAACGGTCTTGTTTGCAGCAGGTAAAAAGAGAGCGCTCTGCGCAGGTCAAGAGTATGCATTTTCATCTTGAAAGACTAGGCGTGTGATTTGGGGAAGAAGGTGAGAAGGTGTATTGTTGGTTGATGTTGAAGGATGAGTGTACTCTGGGGAGGAATTTGGGATGGGTACGTAAAGTGACCTTGTCTTATAAAAGGCAGTGTATGGGGGATCCACCATTAGGACTGCGATCTCTCCTACCCATCTGGCTGAGGTAATAGCTACAAAGAAAACAGTTTTCATGGACAGTAATAATGAGGTGGTTGCCATTGGTTCGAAAAGCGGTCTAGTTAGAGCATTCAATACTAAATGCAGGTCTCCCTGCATTGGTGGAATGATAGCTGAATAAAGTTCCTGCAAGCCCTTTAAGAACCTCTTGTGAGTGGATGAGCAAATATGGATGAGTCATCTATCTTAGGGTATGTCTACATTACCACCCTAGTTCGAACTAGGGTGGTTAATGTAGTCATACGAACTTGCAAATGAAGCCTGGGATTTGAATTTCCCGGGCTTCATTTGCATGTTGCCGGGCACCGCCATTTTTAAATGTCCGCTAGTGTGGACTCCGTGCCCGCGGCTACACGCGGCACGAACTAGATAGTTCGGAATAGGAAGCCTAGCCCGAACTATCTGTACTCCTCGTGCAACGAGGTGTACAGATAGTTCAGAATAGGAAGCCTAGTCCGAACTATCTAGTTCATGCCGCGTGTAGCCGCGGGCACGGAGGCCGCACTAGTGGATATTTAAAAATGGCGGCGCCCGGCAACATGCAAATGAAACCCAGAAAATTCAAATCCCGGGCTTCATTTGCAAGTTCGTATGACTACATTAACCACCCTAGTTCGAACTAGGGTGGTAGTGTAGACATACCCTTAGAATGGAATGTAGTAATAGCTGCAAGGTGAACTTTAATGGAACTTATTGAGAGGCCTACTTGTTTAAGGTGCAGAAGATAGTCGAGGATGGTAGGTAAAGAGGATGTTGAAGGAACCAGTTGGTGACGAGCACACAACGTTGAGAATCTTTTCCATTACTGAAGTTAAATCTTGCGGGTGCTCTGCTCTGTTTGTACTTGCTGTGAGCAGGTCAAGTCTAGGTCAGAGAACCACCCAGGAGCCACGCCTTCAGGTGTAGTGTGTAAAGGTTTGGATGGCAGTCATGGGAGCCCGGGTGAAGAAGATGATCCCTCACGCAAGGCAAGTGGATCGGTAGGGCACGGGACATCACTACTAGGAAGGTAAACCATGGCTGGCGTGGCCATGCCAGTGCTTTAAGTACAAGATGAGCTCCTGTCCCTCCTTATCTTGTGAACTACTCTGTTTAATAGGGGTATAGGAAAAAACGTGTAGAATAGGTGAGATGTCCATAGGATGAGGAAGATATCTCCTATTGATTCCTTGCTTATTCCCGCCCTGGAACAGAATAGGGGGAATTGGCTGTTAGATTGTGTGGCAAACAGGTCTATGGTAGGGTGACCCCACAGGTGGAAGATGTCCGCCAATATATGCAGGTTCATTTGCCACTCGTGTTCGACTGGGAGGGCTCTGTTGAGTGCATCTGCTGTTGTATTCAGGGCACCTGAAAGATGCACTTCAGTGATAACTGTGTTGTATTTCAGGCACCAGTTCCAAAGTGTTATAGCCTCTGCACAAAGTGCTCGAGATCAGGCTCCGCCATGACTATTTATGGAAAACATTGCTGTGACACTGTCTATGTACAGTCTGACATGCCTGTTGGTGATGAATGGGAGAAATTTGATGCATACATTCCTGACTGCCCGGAGTTCTAGGATGTTTATGAAACAAAATACAGGACTATGTAGCACTTTAAAGACTAACAAGATGGTTTATTAGCTGATGAGCTTTCGTGGGCCAGACCCACTTCCTCAGATCAAATAATGGAAGAAAATAGTCACAACCATATATACCAAAGGATACAATTTAAAAAAAAATGAACACACATGAAAAGGACAAATCACATTACAGAACAGAAGGGGGATGTGGGGGGGGAAGGAAGGTGAATGCCAGTGAGTTAATGATATTAGAGGTGGGGAAGGGGAAATGTCTATGAGTTAATAGTATTAGAGGTGATAATTGGGGAAGCTATCTTTGTAATGGGTAAGATAGTTGGAGTCTTTGTTAATTCCGGTGCGGAGAGTGTCGAATTTTAGCATGAATGCCAGTTCAGAGGATTCCCTTTCAAGTGCAGATTTGAATGTCTTCTGAAGTAGGATGCAGGTTAGCAGGTCATTGAGACTGTGTCCTTTCTGGTTGAGATGACAAGCAACTGTTTTTTCTTTGTTTTTTCAAAGATGTGATTTGTCCTTTTCATGTGTGTTCATTTTTTTTAAATTGTATCCTTTGGTATATATGGTTGTGACTATTTTCTTCCATTATTTGATCTGAGGAAGTGGGTCTGGCCCACGAAAGCTCATCATCTAATAAACCATCTTGTTAGTCTTTAAAGTGCTACATAGTCCTGTATTTTGTTTCAGCTACATCAGACTAACACGGCTACATCTCTATCACTATTCTAGGATGTTTATGTGCAAGTTCTTGTTGGTGCTGGACCGCAGGCACTGGCAGGTATGAAGTCATAAGTGGGTGCCCCATCCTGTACGAGATGCATCTGTCGTCATGGAGGCAGATGGTTCTGGTGGGTGGAAGGGGACTTAGGAACTAAGGTTCCATGGGCTCAGATTCCTTTGCTATCTCTGTAAGGGCTAGGGATTTGGATAGTGGATGGACATTGGGTTTGTACACCTGTCCTAGCTAGCTCTGTAAACATCTCATGTGCATACGCATATTGCTGACTACAAAGTTGCATGTGCCCCCCCAGCTGAAGGTATTTGAGTGCTGTTGTGCGGTGGCTGGATCGTAAGGTATTTACTGAGGCCACAATTTTTTAGAAATGGTCTGTAGGCAGGGATGTGGTGCCCATTGTCAAATCTAGGCATGCTCCTATAAACTGTATATTTTGTGTAGGAGAGAGCATTGATTTGGTTTCATTCACCTGAAGGCCCAATTGTCAGAATAGGTGCCTTGTGACTTGAGTGCTGTTGTGCGGTGGCTGGATCGTAAGGTATTTACTGAGGCCACAATTTTTTAGAAATGGTCTGTAGGCAGGGATGTGGTGCCCATTGTCAAATCTAGGCATGCTCCTATAAACTGTATATTTTGTGTAGGAGAGAGCATTGATTTGGTTTCATTCACCTGAAGGCCCAATTGTCAGAATAGGTGCCTTGTGACC